ATGAAGCGCCGAAGGGTGGGCATGCCCGTTTCAATCCGCGGTGCATTGGACTGGCGCTGGAAGGAGAGGTGAGCCTCCTCAATGTCCAGCAACCCTGGCGGCGTTTTGTGGGAACATGGCGATTTTGTAGGGTTGAAGCTTGAAAATTGATGAAAATTGAAGCTATTGAAGATATTGATGGGGACTTCATGAATCTGCAAAGCTTGAAAATTGATGAAAATTGAAGCTATTGAAGATATTGATGGGGACTTCATGAATCTGCAAAGCTTGAAAATTGATGAAAATTGAAGCTATTGAAGATATTGATGGGGACTTCATGAATCTGCAAAGCTTGAAAATTGATGAAAATTGAAGCTATTGAAGATACCGGGTTCTTCAAAAAAAACAGCCATCCACAGGAAACCACAGAGATACCCTGCTTACCCCCGCAACCCCCAACTTCAATGTTGTGATCGGAAGTGCCGAGCATCATCAACAGAAATGGCTGGTTTTTTTGAAGGCCGCCAAACACAAACTTCAGAAGACAACATTGAATTGGGGGACGGGGGGGGCATGACCTCTGTGGTGTGGTACTTCATGGGATGGCTGTTTTTTTTGAAGAACCCGGACTCAGAAAAGACACAATCGGATGGACCCATGGCTGCAGACAAACGCGAGAATGATGACGACACTCTGTCAGAGAAAGCATCGGGATCAGTTTGGGCGGGGGTTTGTGTGTGGGTGTGTCTGTTTGCTTGCGCGGGCGCATATGTGCTAATATGGGTTGTGCTAAGTGAATTACATGCAGCGACAGTCTTGACACCTTTTTGACCTGATTCCGCAATGTCGTTGGGTGCACTGGCTGTCGTTCTGCGTGGCAGGCGCACCACTTTGAGAGCGTGACTGCTCTATCTATCCTGCACACCTGCCATGCAACGCACATGCAACACACATGCAACGCACATGCAACACACATGCAACACGACATGCAACATGAGCTTTTTACCTGTAAATTTACAGTCAACGTGCAGGATTTGACGTTTGCAGCCCCAACTCCGGTCTTAGAATGGAAAGTGTAGATTTTTGCCCCCGCGGCCACGTTGCTTGGAAATTTACAGGGAAAATGCTCGTGTTGCATGTGTGTTGCATGTGCGTTGCATGTGTGTTGCATGTGTGTTGCATGTGTGTTGCATGTGTGTTGCATGTGCGTTGCATTGGCAGGCCCATACAAATCACACCCGTGAAGTGGGGAAGTAGAAGACAGCGTGGCAGGCGCAAGAGTTGTAGGTGGCAGGGGCGAAGCTGAGCGCCTTGGATATTACATTGTGGTGGTCGCCCGTAGCATCCACCTTTGTGGGGTTGTCGCATATTATATAGAATAAGCTTTGACAACAATCTTGGGTAAATTTCACAAGCTGATGGTTAGCCCTCAGCATCCACCTTTATTGGGCTGTCACAGATTACAGAAGGGCATGCTTTGACAATACGTAGCTTTCAGAAGCTGATGTTGTCGCATCGATGTGTGTGTATGTGTGCTGATCTACATCCACATGCAAATCAACAACAGTTAAAATGAACTCGGAACCAAAAAAAACCTCACCGGGTTCTTCAAAAAAAACAGCCATCCACAGGAAACCACAGAGATACCCTGCTTACCCCCGCAACCCCCAACTTCAATGTTGTGATCGAAAGTGCCGAGCATCATCAACAGAAATGGCTGTTTTTTTTGAAGGCCACCAAACACAAAATTCAGAAGGCAACATTGAAGTGGGGGACGGGGGGGGCATGACCTCTGTGGTGTGGTACTTCATGGGATGGCTGTTTTTTTTGAAGAACCCGGACTCAGAAAAGACACAATCGGATGGACCCATGGCTGCAGACAAACGCGAGAATGATGACGACACTCTGTCAGAGAAAGCATCGGGATCAGTTTGGGCGGGTGTTTGTGTGTGTGTGTGTCTGTTTGCTTGCGCGGGCGCATATGTGCTAATATGGGTTGTGCTAAGTGAATTACATGCAGCGACAGTCTTGACACCTTTTTGACCTGATTCCGCAATGTCGTTGGGTGCACTGGCTGTCGTTCTGCGTGGCAGGCGCGCCACTTTGAGAGCGTGACTGCTCTATCTATCCTGCACACCTGCCATGCAACGCACATGCAACACACATGCAACACACATGCAACACGACATGCAACATGAGCTTTTTACCTGTAAATTTACAGTCAACGTGCAGGATTTGACGTTTGCAGCCCCAACTCCGGTCTTAGAATGGAAAGTGTAGATTTTTGCCCCCGCGGCCACGTTGCTTGGAAATTTACAGGGAAAATGCTCGTGTTGCATGTGTGTTGCATGTGTGTTGCATGTGTGTTGCATGTGTGTTGCATGTGTGTTGCATGTGTGTTGCATGTGCGTTGCATTGGCAGGCCCATACAAATCACACCCGTGAAGTGGGGAAGTAGAAGACAGCGTGGCAGGCGCAAGAGTTGTAGGTGGCAGGGGCGAAGCTGAGCGCCTTGGATATTACATTGTGGTGGTCGCCCGTAGCATCCACCTTTGTGGGGTTGTCGCGTATTATATAGAATAAGCTTTGACAACAATCTTGGGTAAATTTCACAAGCTGATGGTTAGCCCTCAGCATCCACCTTTATTGGGCTGTCACAGATTACAGAAGGGCATGCTTTGACAATACGTAGCTTTCAGAAGCTGATGTTGTCGCATCGATGTGTGTGTATGTGTGCTGATCTACATCCACATGCAAATCAACAACAGTTAAAATGAACTCGGAACCAAAAAAAAAACTTCACCGGGTTCTTCAAAAAAAACAGCCATCCACAGGAAACCACAGAGATACCCTGCTTACCCCCGCAACCCCCAACTTCAATGTTGTGATCGGAAGTGCCGAGCATCATCAACAGAGATGGCTGTTTTTTTTGAAGGCCGCCAAACACAAAATTCAGAAGACAACATTGAATTGGGGGACGGGGGGGGGGCATGACCTCTGTGGTGTGGTACTTCATGGGATGGCTGTTTTTTTTGAAGAACCCGGACTCAGAAAAGACACAATCGGATGGACCCATGGCTGCAGACAAACGCGAGAATGATGACGACACTCTGTCAGAGAAAGCATCGGGATCAGTTTGGGCGGGTGTTTGTGTGTGGGTGTGTCTGTTTGCTTGCGCGGGCGCATATGTGCTAATATGGGTTGTGCTAAGTGAATTACATGCAGCGACAGTCTTGACACCTTTTTGACCTGATTCCGCAATGTCGTTGGGTGCACTGGCTGTCGTTCTGCGTGGCAGGCGCGCCACTTTGAGAGCGTGACTGCTCTATCTATCCTGCACACCTGCCATGCAACGCACATGCAACACATGCAACACACATGCAACACACATGCAACACGACATGCAACATGAGCTTTTTACCTGTAAATTTACAGTCAACGTGCAGGATTTGACGTTTGCAGCCCCAACTCCGGTCTTAGAATGGAAAGTGTAGATTTTTGCCCCCGCGGCCACTCTGCTTGGAAATTTACAGGGAAAATGCTCGTGTTGCATGTGTGTTGCATGTGTGTTGCATGTGTGTTGCATGTGTGTTGCATGTGTTGCATGTGCGTTGCATTGGCAGGCCCATACAAATCACACCCGTGAAGTGGGGAAGTAGAAGACAGCGTGGCAGGCGCAAGAGTTGTAGGTGGCAGGGGCGAAGCTGAGCGCCTTGGATATTACATTGTGGTGGTCGCCCGTAGCATCCACCTTTGTGGGGTTGTCGCATATTATATAGAATAAGCTTTGACAACAATCTTGGGTAAATTTCACAAGCTGATGGTTAGCCCTCAGCATCCACCTTTATTGGGCTGTCACAGATTACAGAAGGGCATGCTTTGACAATACGTAGCTTTCAGAAGCTGATGTTGTCGCATCGATGTGTGTGTATGTGTGCTGATCTACATCCACATGCAAATCAACAACAGTTAAAATGAACTCGGAACCAAAAAAAAAACTTCACCGGGTTCTTCAAAAAAACAGCCATCCACAGGAAACCACAGAGATACCCTGCTTACCCCCGCAACCCCCAACTTCAATGTTGTGATCGGAAGTGCCGAGCATCATCAACAGAGATGGCTGTTTTTTTTGAAGGCCGCCAAACACAAAATTCAGAAGACAACATTGAATTGGGGGACGGGGGGGGCATGACCTCTGTGGTGTGGTACTTCATGGGATGGCTGTTTTTTTTGAAGAACCCGGTATTAATGGGGACTTCATGAATCTGCAAAGCTTGAAAATTGATGAAAATTGAAGCTATTGAAGATATTGATGGGGACTTCATGAATCTGCAAAGCTTGAAAATTGATGAAAATTGAAGCTATTGAAGATATTAATGGGGACTTCATGAATCTGCAAAGCTTGAAAATTGATGAACATTGAAGCTATTGAAGATATTGATGGGGACTTCATGAATCTGCAAAGCTTGAAAATTGATGAAAATTGAAGATATTGAAGATATTGAAGCATGGACTCCACCGATATTGAAGATAGTGAAAATCAGAAACAGGTGCGATAGCAAAAACCTGAGTCTCTTGATGTCGAATGCTCCAAAGGTTGAAGGACAAACTTCGAAGTCTAGAAAAGTTCAAAAACAAAACAAGTTTTGCCGCCTGTTGCGTTGCTCACCAGCAAGGCCACTTCCACCAACTCGTCATATGCTTCCACCACTTCCGAAATGCTACTCCTGGACCTTCCCGCCAGTGACTGCGGTGGCAGCCGATCCCCCAGCGTGTGGTGTGGGCCCAGTGGTGGCGAAGCATCCGCGGAGACCGGGACGGCGGCAAGGACCTGCTCGGGGTCCTCTTTCAGGGCCAGCAGACACTGGTCACTGCCAGCTGGTCCTTGCCCTGGTAACCGGGTACAGAAGAGATCCAAGGACACCGGACCTGTCACCCGGGAAGGCGTATCGAAAGATTGCTCTGGCCACAGAAGTCTGAAGGCTTCTAATTTGTCTTTGCTAAATCGGCTCTGAATCTCATTTCTATTCCAAGACTGATCAACTCATTTTAGTCTCCATTTTTCTTCAATAGTTTTTATATACTTCGTGTTAATCCCCACATGTTCCCTGGGATTCATGGCCTGTGGCGCCCTGCAACGACACCCTCAGACCACGTGGAACAGATCTGGTCGTCCCGAGCCGCGATGGGGTGGAGCAGCTGGAGTCGTCGTCACCTTCCCCAGAGGATTCCGCAACATCGCTACCTTCAGGGAGTCGTGAGTCGAACATGAGTCGAACATTAGCTGAAAAGCCAAATTCGTGAGCCAATCAATTAGCTGATTCCGCAACATCGAACCTGCCAATCAATCAACATTAGCCCAAATTTTACGAATCAGCTGATCGATTGGCAGTTCAGCAAGAAAAATTGGAGGAGAATCATCATATTCAACCCGATCAATTTCAATGTTCAGCGGAATGGCCCATTTCCGGGGAGAAACTCATGGGAGAAACCTGGGATCTATCTAGAACCACCAAATCAGAGGATGAACATAATAAGAAAATATATATTAAATATATTAGATAGGATAGTGATGGGGACAATGGGATGATATGGGATGATAGGAGGACAACATATGGATCACAATGGATTCAGGCGCGGCAATTCATCACCCAGGGACTCAAGAAGCGCACAAAATTCTCTCGGCTCTCGACATCCAGAAAGAGGTCGAGGAAATTCGTTTCACTCAAAGCCTTATTACCTGAAGCCAACCCTGGGTCCCCCCTGGGTGACTGGCCCCCCCGAAAATCAAACCCTTCTACGTTATGGCAAATCCTCAGTTTTTGGGGCTGTGAAGCAGCACGAATGGTTCCCAAAATGTGCTGTCCCCTTTTGTGTAGCCCTGGTGCTACCCTAATTTGTCACGCGGGATCAATGATGGGGGTGTTGCTCATCAGCTGGCATCCATGGGAGTTCTTTCATGATTTAAATTTGTGGTAAACCCAAACCTCCGATTCTGGATAATTTATATACCACCCATTTCTGGAAAGTCATTGGGGAGATTGGTTTTTGGTGCTTCAGTCCATTACCGACTGAACCCACTGAAGCCAGTTGCACTTCAGCAAGCGCTCTAAACAACTGGCATCCTCCACAATGCTCCAGTCTCGGCTATCCAGAACGAGATCTCCGTCGCAGACTCCCCGCAAGACCTGCGGAGATCTTTGGAGATCTTGGTCGGAAGTGCACACCACAAAAGCCTAAAAGAACACCTTGTGGCTCGGGATGGCTTGGGTGCTCCATTTGGGGGGTGGAATGAATCTTTTCATTCTTCGTGTGCTGTATCTTGGTCCTCATATCTTCACCACAAATCCCATGGTTCATCATCATTTGTCCCAAGTTTGGTCATGAAATTCGGGTAAACTCAGTTCAAAAAATTGCCAAACGAAAATGGATCATTGTCTCCGGCTTGTCTTTGGCCCCAAACCTGACGAAAGCCGCGCATCAGAGAGGAAGCATCGCCTGAATCCAGCTTGGCCGCAATATTGCTCATTATGAGCTGGTCAATAAATGCCTCAGCAACAAGACTTTGGGACCGGCAGTGGACCTTGCGATTTTTTTCACTCCGTGGCCAAGAATTCTTCAAACATGGCCGTTTATCCCTTGGTGGTTTCCTCCGTGTGTTCCCGGGGAATGTCCATTGAGTCCATTGATCCCGGGACTCCGCGCCAGTGTGGCGGCAAAGATGATGTGCGAGGCCAGGGAGGAGTAAACGATTTGAGGCGTCAAATGATCGAAGCCAATAAGCTGCCACGATCCTCACATGGTTCCAATATGAATGGGTATATGAATGGGTACCCCAGCTGGATAGTGCATGGAAAATCCGAAACAACAATGGATGATGACTGGGGTACCCCCATGTTAGGAAACCTCCACATGTCGGAAGGCAAGTGGAGTAGGTGAACACCCAAGGTGAGGTCGATGTAAGGTAAGGTGAGCTGGAAATTTTGTGGAAACATCGGTTCGCATCCTGCCTTCCGGGTGGTGAGACATACACCCTCTAAACTTCACATGAAACCCACCTGGTGAGACTACCTTGAATCCACGTGCAACTTGTGCTCAAAAACGGCATAAAAACCCAGGCCTTTGGAGTTCCAGCGGTTCCAAATTTCGAGACGGTGTTTTCTGATGACGGTCACAACCATTGGGCAATTCAGGACATTGCTTGTTCGATAAATATGAACACAATTCCACTGGGTAGAAATCGGATGTTCTGACCGTTTTTTCGATGAGCCAAAATGGATCCGCGACGTCACCATGGCTTCGATACCAGTCGTCATCTATCATGATGGGATGATTTGAGGAGAATTCCCGGCTATCCCTTGGAAACCTCGATTTTCCATGACAGGATTACCAGGAAGTTCTCGAAGACTTGGCTCCAGAAAGGGCATGAAGGTCCAACCGGAACGATTGCGACGGCTTTTTTGGGCCAAAGATAACTAGGCTACGTAGGGATGTATGCCCTGTAGGCCCTGTAGGCTTAGTTGAACTGGAGTTATAAGCCACTTACTAACTGGGATGAGCCACTGAGCCTACTAAGCCTTTGAATTCGACCACCAAAATGGGGTTGAAACCTCTCTCCCAGAGGTTCCACGTTGTAGAATGTCACAAAATCTCCCCAACTTGTCTATATTCTCCTGGCCAATATTCACCCAAAATCTGTTCCACAACTTGAACGAAAATCTGATGATTTGTTTGTTGCCTCGTGGCATCTCCAGAATATCGCCAAAGTGATGGTTTAGAAAAAGCAAAAAAACATGAAATTCTCCAGAAATCAGATCTGAACATTAGGTTTTCATTCATTTTTTCCCTTGCTTTTCCAAGGTTTTCGTTCCACCAAGCATCTGGCAATGTGCACTATAGCTTCGAAGATGTAGAGCGGAAGGGTCACCTATTTCAATGTTGTCCAAGAGACGTGAAATGATGAGTATCAGTATAAGGGTGATATAATATTGATATAGTAGGTATATATTCTATCTTTCTTTCTTTCTTTCTGTCTTTCTATCTATCTATCCATCCATCCATCCATCTATCTATCTATCTATCACCAACATATCACCAACACATCACCAACATATTATATCATGTTATCTGATGGTATGTGGGTGCGTCTGAAAATGGTGGACGTATCCTCAACGGATTGTCATTAATTAAAATAGCGAAACGAATGGGAAAAGGCTGATTAACCAGGAGATTGTTCCTCCGGGAATCAATCGTGGCTAGCTGAAAATCCCCCATGTGTGGATGAATTGACCGTTTTTCAGCCTACATTTCGTTCAGGGAATTCCCATTGCCAAGTTAGGTCTTCAAGGTCTTCGGCCCCCAGTCGGCATCACGGCATCGAAAGTTTACACCATCAAAACGCCTTGCGGTCGATGATGGTCACTGACATGAAAAAGAAAAGCACGCCACCTAGCGGTTGAGCCACTGAAAAACGGTCGCAGTCAGTGACTGGATCATCCCATTTTTAAGCAACCAAAACTGGTTGTTTGATGGAAGATCATCATCATCATCATCCCTGGTTGATTGATGGAAAGCAAAAATATATAAACGAAACCAGCAACCAGCCACTGATCTTTTCAGAGACGCAGAAAGTTTTGAAGTCAGTCTCCATCCCCTGCAGTGATCAGTGAGAGAAGTGGACACGAGTGAACAAGGTTTACCCTTCGGTGTCATCAAACGTGGCTAGCTGAAAATCCCTCATTGATAGGTGATTGTCCTATTAAAATCCTCCATTTACAATCGATCTTCCATTGCCACGTTTTTTGTTCCTGGAAGGTAAGAACGGCTGAAGGTTTTTGTTGAAACACCTTGAAACTGTGCGTTTTCGAAATCTCACATGGAATCCAAAAAATAACGTGCGAAATGACCAGGATCTTCATCCCTTTTCACCAGGTGGCGATCGAAAGGGCAAAGATGACCTGAATGGAAAGCCCAACAACTTCCAACAGCCGAAACTGCTCATTGGTCTTGATCTTCACCAAACCTGGCCGGTGAACCCGCATGATCATCCCATGAAGTTCGCTGGAAAGTCCAGCAGGTTTTCTGGATGGATTTCAACCCTTCCCGGGACCTTCCCCATTTTTTCCCATCTCCACCTGAGTGGAAGGAAGCATCCAGGCAATAGCCCAGAATGGGCCCCATAAATTGGAAGAACGACATCAGCGACGGACTGTTGATGAGTTTCCAAAAGGTGGCCAAAGAGACTGCGAAGGAGAAGTGGATCCTCAGTTTGTTGAACATTGTGAGCATTCGCACTCTGGTGCCTACGGTTGAACAACAGTGAAGCTGCTGGCTTGGCGTTGTGGCGAAAAATTGGGATCGATGCAAAGATTGCAAAGGAACAAACACTGAAAGAAAACACAAATGAATGTGGTAAACAGTGTGGCGCCAATAATAAACCTGCCATGGAATCACCACTAAATCCCATCACCATAAAATCCCTATTAATCCACATTAAATCACCATTTTTGCTGTAGAAATCGCTCTTCTTTTGCGCCAAAAAAATGGTCACCGAAACACGTAGGACTTCTTCGTCGAAGCGGAGTTTCTGATCCAGTTGCCGCTGAGACAGTTTCACCTGCACGGTGAACCACGAGGGAGGTCGAGTAATGGAAAAATAACTATCTACCCTCTGGTTATTTGTTACATAGCCAAGGTATAGATGGCCCTAATCGAAATAGATGGTTTACGGTTTTTAATAGCATGTTGGATCTTTCCATGGCAAACTGTTAGTCATAACCAGATGGTATATATATATATATAAATATATATACTGGTACTCCGCAATCCAAATGTATACTGGTTCGTTTTTTGTATACATCTGGGGCCACCATCTGGATTTCCCCAAGCTGGAATATTGATGAATATTGCCTATCTGTCAAATGGTCAAATGATGTGACATTCAGCCAGGTTGCCTGAACCCAAAGAGGCAGGCAACAGCCAGTTGAATCCCCATGGTTGTTGCTTAAATTTGGTTTAAATCCCCATGGTTGTTGGAAAACGGACTCCTAAGGACACCACAAAACATTCATTTTGTTGGTTACCCTCTGGTAAACTAACGTAACTATGGAAAATCACCATTTTTAATGGGTAAATCCACTATAAATGACCATTTTCAATAGCTATGTTAAATTACCAGAGGGTGGGTTTCTCCTCAGACACCTCGGCTCTGGCCCGGTTTTCTCGGCGCCATGAGGCCACCAGACTTTGCAGCAAGCTTCGAACCGTGCCGCCCGTGAGAGATGCATGCAGCAGCGCAAAGAAAGGCACAGGCACGAGAAGTACGCTGTAACCCAGATAACTCAGAAGCTCTTGAAGTATCACCAGTGCTGCCATTGCTTGCACAACCTCGGTTTACTCTCCTGAGATAAAAGAAACAGCTGCAGATACGTCCAACTTTGACCGCCACAGACTCTCAGAACTGCAGCCTTCAAGAGGGATTCCAGCTTTGCAAAATTTGATTTAGATCTTCAAGCGACGTTCAAGCGACCAGACTCTGTTCATTCTGTGCTACCAAGGAATCCATTCGGAAAAGTCTTACAAACAATCGTCCCCTCTATTTGACCTACAAGGCGTCGATTTGGTCATGGGAGAAATAAGATGGGGCAGCAGCTCCCAAGGGTACACGACAACACTTGGGGAGGTCAACCGCAGCTTCATGCCTGCAGAGGTAGCCCCAACAGCAAGGGTCTTCTTGTAGTCCCTGGGTACCATTGCTTGGTGCGCGGCATCTGGGTGTTCGATGGGAAATAGACGTGGGTTGAATCGGGATACTTCAGATACCCATTTCAAGGGTGGATCAATGATAGATCAGGAGATTCATCCCACGAACTGCTTGGACTTCCGTCTGGACTTCATCACCTGAGAAGCTCTGGTTAAAAAAAAAAAGCATCCTTTGTACCAGATGCATCTGGGGTTCCAAAAGTATATGAGTTGATTCGGATCCGCAGCAGAGAAGAAGGACCCATCATTCTGTGAACATTTTCGGCTAGGATTGGCTAGGGTGCCTCAGGCTGGAAACCGGGATAGAAGGTAAAGAGAAAAGAGAAAACAGAGAAAATATGAGAAAATGAACTACCCACAAGATGTTCTACATCAGAAAATGAGTCTTGTTCCCCCTTTGGCTTCTTTGTACTCAACTACTCAATATGAATCATGTATGCTAAAGAATGAACGGTCATCCATTCATGTTTGTTTTGGGGGTCATTACTTTGAGATCATGATTGGTGAATAAAACCTTTTTTTCATTGTCGATTTAATCATGTGGGGGCAAAAAAACACCACCTCTTTGACTTCACATCCCCCGTTTTTTATGTCCCAAAATCCCATGGTTTGTCCGAGTTTGTTCCCTCTGACAATCCATGGCCAAATGCTGTTGGTGTGTAAATCCCCCATTGACTCCCCCAATAAATCCATATAAATCCATATAAATCCATATAAATCCATATAAATCCATATAAATCCATATAAATCCATATAAATCCATATAAATCCATATAAATCCCATCAATCCTATATCAATTTAAGGTGATCCTATCCCAGTCCCATCGCCCCATCGGTGATCGGTCATCCCCATGAGGGATTCACCGTTTTTGCCCCAAGGCCCCTGACGACGCAGTCAACTCTGGAAGTTTTCGCGTGTCCGGATAGCCCCAAAGCAGCAACGCCCAGATGCATCCGACACCCAACTGGCACGGAGTGACAGGTGTCGAATCGGCTTTTGTAACATGTTGAAGTTGGTAATAGGGAGAATCATCTGTACAAATAAAGATCTATTTATATATTTATATAAGTCAAATCCAAAACCCCTTTCATTTGGTGAACCGTATCATGTGATGTTCCAATCCAAGCTGTGCTGAAAATAAAGTCGAGGCGGCATCCCTATTTCTGAATAAAATCTCATGTGTTGTTGCTTATCCTCATGTACAATGGCGTGCTTACCACTTCCACACAGCCTCCAACAAATGCTGGTTACCGGTGCCGCATTCAGCTGGACTATGTTTTGGGGGGATGAACATCCAGCTGACTGAAAATGTGAAACCCCCAGAAATCATCCCATGCTTGAGACAATGATTTTCAGCATATTAAAATTGCTTGACGTTGGGGCCAAATCCCCCACGTTTTCACGAACCCCACCACCATATGTTGATACCATGAAACCATTCAAATGTTTGTGGGTCAAGTTGAATCCCATCGATCCACTTGTTTTGTTCACCAAAAATGTGTCTTTTCGACCGCGCCTGCAGAGTAGCGATGGTCATGGGAAATCCATGAACGCCACCAGCAGCGGTCAGCGCGCGCCTTGACTGGCTCTCACGGGGTGGATTTGTCGAAGTGCTTCGCACGAGATGCTGAGCTCGCTACTTGTTGGTGATGTTGTAGTAGTAGTTTCCCAGGTACCAAAGTGCGAAGTATGCTAAGAGAACGAAGTCAATCTTTTTGCCCTGCCAGGCACGGGGCAGACTTTCGTTGGGAAAAGCCATCAGCCGGTGATTTCTGATGATTCGATCCTCATGTGGATTTGTATGTAACATGCGTAAGCATATTATATATATATATACATACATACATACATACATACTGCATACTCAATATATGCGGTATACTGTGATATGTATATGTATATAATTATATACAATTATTATATTAATATATATATATATATGGTTACATTACATCCGCAACTGTCTGGCCACTAGGAAGGAATACGAGGTTCTTTTCCCAAAATGTTTCGCGAAAAAATGAGGACAAACTTGTTGGGCACCGTGGCGCAGACTTGTTCCTCTCTCGGCAGCACCGTGCCTCCTTGCTCTCTGTGGCTGCCTGCGACCGGATGAAAACCCGACCAAGATCTTCCAAGATCTATTCTATTCCTTCCCCTCCTTCCCACCTCTTCAGCTTTCAACGGTACTCGAGCATTTGAGCCTGAAATGCCCGGTACCCACGGTACCAAAATCCCGTTGAGATGGTGCTGACCCAGGTGAGTCCCTAGCTCGAAGCCGTCGAAACCAGTCATTTCTAGCAGATGTAACCAGTCACCAGTCACCACTGAGTGGGCTAACATGGATCCGCATCTCACTGGATCTTATTAATGCAATCAAACGATGCTAAACTGCAGTTGAGAGACACAAAACTGAAAGAAAGAGAATGAAAAAACGAATCAATGTGCCCTTGATGTGTTGTTTTACATTTATTTAGTATTCACTACATTTGTTGTGTCTACAATAAATTTACGCGGAAATCCATCCTGGTACCCCCAGCATTGTGAATTCTTTGTTTTTCATGGCTGTTCTTTGACAAAAAATATTGAAACAGCGTGATTTCCGAACCTGCTTCGTGACATCTGTATACATCTGTGTAAAAATCCCTTAAAATCACTTGATTCTGTTCATTCCCCTTGGAATTCACCGGTTTTTACTGGTTTTTACTGGTGTGTACCATGGGAAAATATCTTCCTTCGTAGCTCCCCCGCACCTTGAACCCGCAGAGGTGCATAGTGATGACCTGGAAGAAGTTGCCGCGGGACTGGATGAAGTTGCCACTACTGGAGTGTCATAAGCACATGGACCACATGGAATCTCATGAAGCCAAATAGATAGAAAAAATGGAAAAATGATACTCTGTACCATCCTGGAAAAACTTTTCAACTGCATCTTTTTGCGGAACCCAACAAAATCAAGACATATCAAAACCCAAAACAGATGGATTACACTCCTAAACTCCTCCTGTGGGTCGCGTTTTCCACCTGCCAACGTTGGAGACGATGAGCTCGTTGACAGCGACGGGGCCAGGAAGGAAAGCCCGCCCTGGAAGGCCTGCGAACAGTTTTATGGAAGAGGGTGAGAGTACGTCTCTGTATACATTACTTGCACTGCATTGCATTGCATTACATTAGATACATACGTACATACATACATGCATTACATTACATTACATTACATTACATTGCATTGCATTGCATTGCATTGCATTACATTACATTACACTACACTACATTACATTAGATTACATTACATTACATTCATTCATTCATTCATACATACATACATACATACATCCATACATTTCATTCATTCATTCATTCATTCATACATACATACATACATACATTGCATGCATGCATGCATACATACATGCATACATACATCCATGCATGCATACATACATACATACATACATTTCATTCATTCATTCATTCATTCATTCATACATACATACATACATACATTGCATGCATGCATGCATACATACATGCATACATACATCCATGCATGCATACACATACAGATACAGATACAGATACAGATACACATACACATACACATATACATATACATATACATTACATACATACATACTTACATATTTACATACTTACATACTTACATACTTGCATACTTGCATACATACTTACATACTTACATACTTACATACTTACATACTTACATACTTACATATTTACATACTTACATACTTACATACTTACATACTTACATACTTACATACTTACATACTTACCTTACGTTACGTTACGTTACATTACATTACATTACATTGCATTACATTACATTACATTACAATCCATACATACATACATATGTATATATATGTAGAATATATACAAATAGTTCCAACCCCCCCGACAGTACCACACTCCGACCACACCACAGGGGGGGAGGGGGACAGTACCACACCCCCACCACACCACAGAAGGGGGAGGGGGACAGTACCATACACCCACCACACCGGGTGGGGGAGGCGGACAGTACACCACACCACGGGGGGGGGAGGGGAGTTGGAACGCTGGACCATATATACAGTACACGGTACATATACGATCACCGTGGTTTACTGAGGATTTCTTGAAATGCTAATACTCTTTCTACACCAAGACAACTCTTGATTGTGGCACACCTGGTATTGTTTCAAAGAGGGCTGCTTCAGAAAATGCTAGCCCACGATGGAAACCAGCAAAACCTACAGAAATAAAATACCAAATAAAGCTATTCTTTTCCCAGGCAAAACCCTTCGTGAAAATTTGAGAACCAGGCTTGCCCCTTCCCAATTTTCGCCCAACTACAGGGGAACCAGAACCTAGATTGAGCTAGAAAAAAATAGAGAAAACTAGCAAAAAATATTAGAACATGCTAGAAAAGCTAGAAAAGGCTAGATTTTTCCCGGTTTTGGGGAAATCCTAGATGCTTCTGAGTGTGCCATCCGTGAGAGGGAAACAATTAGTTTCTTTTAGGGTTATTTTTTTTTCTTTTCACCTCTCACCCCTGTTGAAGCCACCCTGTTTGAAGCAACTCCATTGGGTCTCCGAAGATATCTGCGGGTCCAAACCAGACTGGTCATGCCTTTTTCGTCTCACTTATCAACTTAAGAGCACTCCATGGTTAAAATTGGTATATAACATAACCCTCAACTGATGAATTGTAACCATCAATGTACATATCGTTGGTTTTATATCCCAGGAAATCTCCCCATTCAATACCAATCAATTAAGACCATCAAGTCACCATCAATTCATCGTTTTGGGGTCCCAAATTTCCACCAAAGCCTCTGTGAGTGCCAAAACCACAACACCAGCGCATAGCCAACGTATGGCCCAAGCCTCAAAAAGTGTCACTTGTGTTTAAAAATTGGAAAAATGAAATGAGATAAATGAGTCATTATGAGTGTTTAATGGCAATTTTGGGGGTTTCTTAAAATTGGGGATCCCCAATAGCTACCATTGGTTTCAACACGAACTCATTTCAGTGTGATGACTTGGATGATGCCTGGGGGAACCCCATTTCAAGAAAACCTTCATTTGATGTAGATACTTAGTGGGATTTAGAAGATACTTGCTGGGATTTATAACCCACATCTATATATAGTCTTTAGATGTGTCTGGAAATCGGGATTGAACCCATCAAATTCGGAATGGGTATCTAACGGGGATATTTCATCAGATTTATAAACAAGAATCTGGTTTGAAAGGGGGTATGATTACCCCAAAATTGCCAGTTCCAACTGTTTAATTTCGGGGGCCTAAACATCTCATTTTGGGTTTTCCGACAACCCTGGTTTTCTAAGCACCCCGAACGGATCTACGGGACATCATGGACAACTCCCCAGCGTTTCCACGCAGTCCTTGAACCGCTGGGCTGCCGTTTGTCAAACCGCCACACCATCCAGTTGGCACAGTTATAATTGACACTGCATTTCGTTTTTTGTCCAACATTCATTGCACATGTGTTCAAAATTTCCAAAAGAAATTAGAGACAATGACAATACCTCATTCCGTTGTTTGAAATTAAATGAGTTCCAGCCCAATCGTTTTTCAATGAAATGTTTTTGCCACAATTACACATGGAATTGGTGAAACAAAATTCATGTCCACCAAACTATACCCTGATGCAAAACCAATCAAAATCCGGAAAACTGCCCCAATAAAAAAAAAAAACGGCAACATTCTCAGAAAACAGACGGTTTGCACAATGACGTATGCATTGTTTTTCACCGCCAAAACCGAATATCCACTTCATGTTCATTTCTACTACTCTCCACGCCCCACTCTCTACCCTTCACAACACTGCAGTCTACGCGTTTCACCCTGCACTCTATACAATCAACAACCCGCACTTTACACTATAAATTTCAACCTGCGCACTCCACACTCTACCCTCCACAATCTACATCTCACACTCCACAGCCTACGTTTCACGCTCCACACTGTGCACTCTCCGATTGCAGCCCCGCGACAACTTCATGCATGATTCTCCCCAAGAGCCTGGCATACAAAAAACAACATTGTACATCTTCCCACACCTGTGCCAAACACACGACCGCTGAAGGCACGAGATTGCAACGTTCAAGACTGTCAAGTTTTTGTGTAATTAGAATGGCCCCTGCGTGTGGCAAGGATGACATGCACAGAAACCACTGCGTACTGCCACAGCATTTTTTTGGATGAAAAATGCGCGCTGCTTCATATGGTAGCGCGGAGCTTTGTCTGAGCGACCTTTGGTGAGCAGCTGGCTGAGCTGCTGGCGCTGGTTGCCGCCTTCAGCGGCTGGTGGTGGAGCTCTATGTCGTGGAGCTCTTGGAGTTGGCAAGACGGCCCCAGGGGGCAGAAGCCGCAAGAGAAGCAAGTAAAAAGGCAAGGCTGGACGTTGTGGAATCCCAGCTGAGGGATCAAGAAAGGAGTCCAGAGGTTGGAACGCATCTATCTGGAAAAGCATGAGAGGATAGCCCTTCTGAAAAAGGAGGCGAAGAAAAGAAAAGCGGGGCCGAACCAGGAAAAAAGGAGTAAATAAGAGTCCTCAAAGGCGCAGAAGACGCGCAGTTAAAGAAGAAGTCCGGAACGGACTAAAGGCCCTAAGGAGGCCCTGGAGACAAAAAAAAACAAAGAGCGAAGAAAAGGTCAAAAAGAAACCAGAGAGCCCAGCAAGGGCAAAAAAATCGGAAAAAAAATTATCATTTGTGCAAACGCTGCTGA